TTTGGGGATTATTGAAACCGTCTTCTGTATTAATGACAAAATAATTACGATGACAAGTCATGACTGAGATTTACAAATAGAAACAGTTCATAAAATTTAAAGATAGTGAATATAGTAAACTATAATAACACTAAATGTCATATATGGACTTGTCAATGGACAAAACTATTCATCATTTTAGAGAAAAACATTATGCCTGCTTATTTTGGTGTCAGATGATTTTACATGTGGTATCTGATTGGAAAAAAATATATGATATCGAAAAGATTACTGCAGTAATAAAAAAATAAATTTGCATAAGATATAAATGCATTATATTATATTTTGACCATGGTAGTGCATAGTGTATTGTATTAGCAATGCCATTTTAACATATTTATATCTGTTATCTTCTATTTTCGTTGAAAAGAGCGTGGACTTAGTTACTTTCATGCGGAAATGCGTTTGAATACCAGGTTAAATACTTGTTTAACGTCATTTTTATATCTTTTGATGTTATACCTCTGTTCAGAAAGAATTGTCTTAAACCGCTATGTTAATTTTGTCCTTTACATCACACCTATGTTGTCAATTATTACTGTTCCTTATAGTGAATTTATAAAATAGGTCATATCATAATTCTCTTTGGACAATGGCTCACATTATAGTACCTAACAGCTACATGTATGTCTGAGAAGGATATTACACAATTAGACCTACAGACTTGTGTTTAAGTTAAACTAATGCAGATGCTAAAAATGTAACCTGATTCAGAATTTTCTGAATTTGATAAAGTAGTAAAATAAGACCATCATGGCAGAGCAATATACACCCAAATATATTTTTTTCAGTAATTAAAATAGGGAAGAGCACCAATGAAGAAACTTGTCAGAAAAATATTTTATCTTAAACATCAGTATAATATTATATGACCTACAAGGTAGGGACAATTATTTTTTAGGTGCATGATTCACAAACGTTTTATAGAGGTCTACTAAGCAATGCTAAAGGCCAAACTTAGAGGCATAATATCTAAGCTCTGGGCTTTGAAGTGTCCTACAAAAAGACTTAATGTGTTTGTATATATAAATTTAAAAGAATCAAGTGCCCCCGGGGCGGCCCATTGTTTTTTTTTACTCCAAAGGGAATAATTGATATTAGTTTTGCAGAGATCCATAAGGTAATGCTAATTGCTAGATATTTTAGCATGCAACACCCGAGATGGGCCATTAATCAACCCAGGGAGCATGATTAAAATTATTATCGGTTTAACGAAGGTCAATGAGGAAACGCTACATGTCAAAAATCTAAGCGCATGGCATAGTACTTACACGCGATAAGAATAACAAAAAAATATCCTATAAAAGCCTTTTTGATTATGTGACACCGAGGGTTGGATCAATATTGACCCACGGGGCATACTTTATTTAGTATATTAAATTTATAGAGGTCAACAAGACAATGCTTCATGAAAAATTTTCAAACTCTAGGCATTGTAGTTTTATAAGATAAGACTAAAATGTGTTTTCTCATACAAGGCAATATCAACAAAGTGATGGCCGGAACATAGATTATACCTGTTTTGTAGAGGCCAACAAGGCAATGCTACATGTCAAATACCTTAGCTCTATGCAATGTAGTTTCACAAATAAAGTCTTAAATGTATTATTTATTTACAAAATGAGAACAAATATTAAAAAGGCAAGGCGACAAACACAGCATGCAACCCATTTACAACACAGCTATCCAGCAGGGCACCCGGTAGGCACCGAACCAAAAACAGGAGGTGGCATAAGGGCAATGAAAGGAGGGGAGGGGCATGTATAAGAACTAACAGTTCCGACATGGAAATCAAACGGCAATGGAGAGTAAGGAAACGGTGGGGTTGGGGGCATAAAATGGGACATGTGGGGAGAGAAAAAGAAAAACTCTCCGTTAACGACAATTTAACAAGACAAGATATCATAAAACGTGTAAACATTCACAACACGCAACAAACAAAACATAAAACATACATATGAAGCAACATAGAGGGCTACCGCCTTGGGCGATCAGTACTTATAAAACCACTGAAGAGATTTAACTGGTATAAGGCACCCCAAACCTCACTTTAGCCCAAATATGTTCCCGTATGAAATTCAATTGCCATGGGTAGACGAAATAAATAAAGACAACTGATCATGAAAATATACAAAAAATGTACAGCCCAATGACCTTAACAAAAGTAATCGCATTTAAGAAAGGCAGAGCAACAACAAAATCACCTACAAGGCCCCGACGAAGTAAAACAGAAAACTAAAATTAGAACAATTCAGTCCAAAAGGCTTAACGAGCGGACAATTGTAGAGTCTTCCACTTGGTCTGTCAGATGCAATCGGAAAAGGAAAACGTAGCACCCAACTGTGACAGGATTGAACACCAAGCCTATGGTATGTCTTACAATAATTGGGTCATATCCTCTTTTAATAAAACGTTTGATAATTTTAGTGAAGACAGCAGAAAAATTACTATGACCAATAACCCTACGCAATTAATAAACAATATCTCCTTATTTATCAGGCTTGCCAATATCTTGTCGTAAAATTTGATTTACAATTAAAATTAAAATTTAGAATAAAATCTGAGTTACGATGGCAGAACTTTGTAAATATTTACGCAATTTGTGGTAGCGATAGCTTTGTTAAAGACGTTTTCCAGTAATAAATTGATTGCTTTCATTACAGTCACCAACACGTCTACTTATCTGATTATCTGAGAAATATGTACCCCATGTGATGTTGCATGAGGTTAATCTTCATCTAAATGCCATTAAAATCATCTCTTTTCTCATAGATTTTAATAACTATAGTGTTGAAAATGCTAGAACTGTTTAAAACAAAAAAAAAGTTGTGATGTCTGAAAAGATTATTTATCACTTTAAATTCACTTGGATATATTTTCGTAACCATTTGATCAAGTGAGTTATTTATGATAGTTCTTTGACAGGTTCCGGTTTTGCTGTCTGCATACAAATTACCAAATTGTTGGTTTACACAGAATTTATGTACCTGCTAATAGATATTTTATTCGACTTCCAACCTAACAATTGTCAGGAAATATTTTTTTCTAGTACAAATACTGCTTGATTGAATCTGATTAGTTTCACCAGTTCCGAAGCAAGTTTACCAGTTCCAGTGCACATATTTGTAATATTAAATACGAAGAAATTGACTGACTATTTTGTGAGGTATTATTAAACTAGTCAGTACCCTGCAAAATGTCAGTCATATTCATTATTTTAGTTTTCATTCGGGGTATTGTAAACTTTAATGCACCACACTACTTTGCGTGAGATGAAGCAGAATTTTAATTGCATTTGCATTAGACTTTTATCATTATTCTTAAAAACAGGAATCGTGTATCATAAATGTCCAAGATAAAAGTAAGTTCTTGTTTTGCATTAATACTTGAATAATATTCATTTTTGTTCAATAACTGATAAATACTTTTAATAGATAGATTCTAATCTGTTTTAGTTTTATCCATAAAATTGATATATTGACAAACATCTTTAGTTTAAATAATATCTGTCAGCACTGGCATAGACATAGATATATATTGTCATTTTTTTATCTATACTCTGGATTTTATTTTATCACTCAGTTTTCAGAAATTAAATGTATACTCATTACACTACACGTACATGTACTTGCTATAAAATAATAACATTATAGCGTATTTTAGCGACTTTTCCTCTATATATTATAGTGGCCTACAGTAACCGGATTTTATATGAATTATTATAATTAAACTTTAAAATATGTTTACCTCAAATATGTTTTTTACATATACTAGTTCGTACATTTAGATATCAAAGAACATTTTATTTCTGATGAGAAACACGGACACTTTTTCATTTGGGTACATTCTGATAGTAATCCCGTCATAAAAAAATACGTGCTTCGGAACTGGTCAAAACCTGGTTTAAACAGGTGTTAATATCTTTATGTTTATTATTTTTATCAAATATTTTTTGATTAAATTTTAGGGCAAATAACAACTTTTCCATCGATATATAAAATGTGTCTCTTTCTTTCAGTTCACATTTAACATGTACCGATATACCAATAAACAATAATACTGCCGATATGAATTCAGCATTTTTGCCTCATGTAGAGTCAATAATCGGACAAAAAATATTAGAAGCCGAAAATGAATAATGACTAATTATTTATTTTTTAGTGTCAATTAACAACAAAACAAGTGAATATTTTATTTTCTATATTTATTGTCGTTAACGTGAATAGCTCGCTTGATTGTTCGGAACTGGTCAATGCGACAGAACCGGTCAAACAACTGTATATCATCCAAGTAGCGGGAAATGTTATTAAAATTAAAACGACACTTTAAAACTATATAAACTATAATAAAATAACATCTTGCACAACAAACAAACACATTTTCTTTGTTATTTTATGCTTAAAAACCATTTTTAATGAAATTTCCTCAATACTAATTGGAATATCAAAATCTGTTTTCCCCACTGGAAGCCCTCAATTTCAGACCACTGTTTTAATTATTTAAAAAAGAATCCATTTCTTATAAGTTTTTTTTTATATAAATCACGTATAGTATAAAAGTAGTTTGGTATACTTGCGACAGATTTTAAGTTCATATAAAAAACAAGAAAATTCTTGCCGAATTAGTTTAAGTAATAGCTTTACATGACTTACACGGGAGAGGAACTGTTACATGAAGGATGGAGTCGGGAGTTCGTGTGATAACTGTCACTGAGTCCCGGTAAACGTTACGGATTTCATCGGAAAACTTTGGTATAATGTTGGTTTTGAGTGTATTTCATTCCAAGTGTTATTTTTTCTTACCTCCTTTTCTTATTTTGTTTTTCCTTCTTTTTTTCTTTTTATAACATTTTTTGCTAACGCAGATTTCGTAGAACATTGAGGTATTGGATAAAATACGCTTTGGATTCAATTCTCAAGCATGGCTCCTTCATGTATACATTATTCCTGACAATATAGAGAAGATTAAGTAACTATGCCAAAGGTCTGCAGTGCATGGTTTGCCGCAAAATATGAAGTAGTATGCACTACCTATATCTAACTTAAATAAGGTGGGGGTCATCTTCATGTATTCAACGGATATTTAAATTTCTAAAATGTGTAAATTTTTGCAATAGAGACGTAGAAAATTGCCTGACAATGATATCACAATACAAATTAAGTTTTTAATAAAATATTTGAGTCGTCTTAAGATTCATGCCGGTGATCGACTATGTTTCTTTCTTCATTAAATCCACTTTAACTTCACATGTCTTAAAGTGCTCTCCTGAGTGCGGAAAATTATTACATACATCTTTACTTATCAAACAGTTAAGTTAAACTTAAGATTGGATGTCATATGGTCAGTCTAACTTAAACTGAGTGAGCAGGATTTGCTTTTAAATACTTAACAAGATGTACGAAAGTAATACCGGAAAAATTTACGTTGTCATTTTTACAGTAAAACGAACATTTTTCTATCACTGTTTGATGGGCATCCCCCTAGTAATGCTTATTGGAGGAAATTCTGCTATTTATGTCCAAGAGTGATAATTTGGTTTTAACGGTACATGGGAAGGTCCATTAAAAGGGTAAGTCTGCATATTATCTGAGATTGGAAGTATCAACAACTATAATAATTCTAAGAAGTACCATTGGCGCAGGTGGTAAATCAACGTCATTGTTACTTTTAATGATTTGAACTCAAAGGTTCGAACCCTACGCTCTGCAATGTTATTATGTTGAAGTCGTTATTGTTATTTCCACTTTTTTATTTACTTTATCTTTGTTTGAATATAGTTTTGTTTTTCTAAATTTCTTTCTTTCCTTCCTTCTTTCATTTTAAAAATCAAGTTAGTTTGAAAACACTGCGATTACGAAATATTAATAATATTTATAATTTTAATATATATAAGTCAATATAAGCACACTTTATTTCATTATATTTATTTTACATTTCCAATAAGAAAAATATATTTAAAATCACTCAGATATAATTGTAAATAACATGATTCAAACATGTAAATGAATTAATACAACACTGACACGGACACTCTGCCTACTGAGCTTACCAGGCACATGAAAAATGACGTTTTAGATTGTCTTTTATGTATTAGGCTTCTGTCTGCCTTACCTATTTTTCACATTGTTATTAATCTTCGTTATGTAAACAAAGGCTTAAGTTATCAGTATTGCTGCAATTAATATCAAAAATATATAGTCGAACTTCATTCACTCGAACCCGGGCGTGTGCAAATTTTTTCGAGAGATCGTTAGTTAATTGGAGCCAATAAAGATATGCCCGTCTATTTATGCAAAAGATAACTATATATTCCTATCTTCACAAGAAACAAGTCATTGCAGCAAAATCAGCGTAAAATGTGAAGGGAAACGTAAGCCATAAAACTATAATTGACGAACAGCGATATACAAACGAACGAATGTCATTAAAATATCTCTTGAACTATATACATTCAAAACCAACATTATATATCAATATTGTTGTGCTAAGAATGAGCGTAATACATTTCATGATTTACACCCTTATTTAATAAAAAGGCTAAAACGTGTTATAAAAATTATCATAAGAACTCTAGGACATCGTCTGAGTTATCACAAGAACTCGAGGACATTTGAAGAATGGGGCATAAATTTGTTACCCAAGGCTTTATGTTTACAACTTTCTATTTTAATTAGATAATGATGTTTGGCAAGGAAGAAGATCACAAATGAACAGATCAATATGTACGAATGAACAAATAAGTTGGAATTTTTCTAAATATACTAGATTTTAAACAAGAGTCAATGACAAATAGACAATTATGTTTTTTTCTGACACATTATACACTATGCATGTTAGGCTTTATTACTAAAGATTATAGTAGCACCTCAATATATTTTTAAAGATGAATATTGCAATTTTTGAAAAGTGTTTCTGTGGTTTATACAAACGTTTTGCGACGGAATCCATAACGTTTTCCTGGAACTCTGTGATAGTTCTCACACGAACTCCTGACAAGTTCCTCTCCCGTGACTTTCCACTTTCATTTGATAGTAGAGACTTCACCCATTTATGTGGAGCTAAGTGACAAATCCTACAATGTCAATCATGTTAAAGCCACCTCTTTCAAAAGTGTGTATCAATAATATATCTTTTTCAATTTCCTTTTTGTTTTATTGTCCCAAAAGTACGTATTTAAAAATAATTGAGTTTTTTTTCTGTATTTCTTCTGGAAAGTACAATGATTGCATTAAATAGGTAAATTTTGGAATCAATATTGATTTTGTGACTCCGAGTTGTCCATAAACAGTCAGTTTCTTTTCGTCCCTGAATTAATTAAGCTTTTACCTTTTTGAATTTTCAATTTCCAATTTAATTGTTCTCAATGTTTTCTATTTGTGCCAAAGTAGATGCCTCAAACTTTTATTTTTCCATCCATTTTATGTCAGTTAAGTTTAAATTCCCATCCTAATTGAACGCCTTTGTCTTGTGCATATCTAATTCTAGACCAGAATGTTTTCCGAAAGTTTCAATAGTTTATAATTTATTTTGTACATCTTCTGTGCTTTTAAAGAGCATTGTGGTATCGTAGGCTAGTTGTGTCGTTAAAGCTTAAAAGTTTAATTGTTGGTTTTTATTGGGATTTTGTTTATGGTTTATGAACGTTTATGTCGTTATTCGTATCTCAAGCCTTTTAAAATCTAAAAACAGAATGTTTCCATGAATGTTATACATGTATATTTTCCACAATAGTCAATAACGTCCGATATTTGAGGTATATTATTACCAATAAAACAATTATTTATGAAACCTTGTTGATCGCTGACTATAATGTTCTAAAGTACAATATCACTGCAGTATGAACTGCAGTACCAGTACCAGTAATGCAGCTCTGGTTAAGGAGAGGTTAGCTGTAAAAGCTTCTGTATTAGATGTGTCAGTAGTACCTGAAATTACACAGATGCAAGACATTCAGTTCAGTGGAAGGTGTACAAATCGACAGTAAAGTAGATGAATTTCATGTCGAAAGTGAATCGCAACCAAAATACTAGTACAAAAGAATAATTACATGCAAATCCTTTCAACTAAACATGTCCATGAATAAATATATCAAATCAACACCAATGTTGAAGTATGCACAAACTTAAGTCTCATGGCCATCCAGAAACACAGTTGACCAAGAGACTCATCAGAATATCCAGTGCTTTATATTGGGATCTTTCAATTAAAATTGTATTTATACTATTGCAATTGTGAAAAAATGCTATGCCACCGCATTAATACAACACTAAATAGCAGGAACAAAAGTAGATTTTTTTTTATTTCTATACTACTGACATTTGCCATAATGTAGGAGTGTCTAGTGAATTGGGGGTCAAGGTCATATTCAAGCATTTCAAATGAAAGAAAATGTGCAGGTGTGTCTAATGGCCATAGTATATTAATTATTCCACAAGAGGGCCATAATTGCCCTTATATCGCTCACCCTATTAAATGGGCTGTGTGACCTAGTTTTTGACCACAGATGACCCATCTTGGAACTTTACAAAGAAATCAACAAACTAACCTTTCTACGACGACCAATATTCTGGATATCTGGATCACAACAGTAGCCTCTAAAGTGTAAACAAGGTTTTACCATATCAGGGCTGTGTGACCTAGTTTCTGAACACATTTGACCCATATTCAAATTTAACCTGGATTTCATCATAAAAACCTTTCTGATCAATTTTCAGTATATTTGGACTGGAACAGTAGCCCCTATAGTGCTTACAAGGTTTCCAATAACGCTATGTGGCCTAGTTTTTTACCCCAGGTAACCCATATTCGCACTTGACATAGAAATCATCGTAACAACTTTACTGACCGATTTCTAGGAAATTTGGTTCAAAATAGTAGCCTCTGGAAAGTTAGCAAGGGTTTTCCATATCTGGGCTGTATGATATAGGTTTTGACCCCAGTTTTATCAAAACAACCTTCATGACCAATTTACCGGATCACAATATTCAGATCACAGCAGTAGCCTTTAATATGTCAACAAGGTTTTTCTGTATTTTGGTTGTGACCTAGTTTTTGACCCCAGGTGACCAATATTCGAACTTTATCTCAAAACAACATTTCTGATTAATTTCAAGGATATTGAAACAAAAGCCACTAAAGTAACTCATCTATGCAATTACCTCGACAAGCATCCTGACAAATCCAAATTTAAAATCTGTATGTCACAACACAAGAAAGCAGGTCAAATGATATCAATTATATCAAAATAGGCCAATTAATACCAAAAATTCAATTCAGGATCAGAAATTACACCCCTTGACCAAATTTTAAGTATGTACATCAAAAAATTTGGGAGTAGGTCAAACGATATCATTAATATTAAAACTAGGTCAGTTGATATCAAGAAAGTAAGTCAAATGGTTTAAAAATATCAATAACAGCTCAACTGATATCAAAATTCAATTACGCACGTAAAACCGATACCAGGTTCAAAATAAATTAATTATGTCAATTAATATATAAAAGAAAAATTAAAATAAATCTCAACAAACGGTTTCATATCAGGACACTTGATACTGGTTATTCAGTTAAAAAGTGATTAAGATCTCTTGAAAAATGAAGGAGGTGTGCACGTCATAATTGTCCAGCCGCCTGCCTTCCAATATTCACCAATCAAACAACCAGAGATTTATCTTGGAAGTCTACATCAAACATTGTAAGTCATGGAGTAACTACTAAAATTATTGCAGAAGTTAACAGAATAAAGAGATCAACCAGAATTACATCAAGCACTAACCTTTAACAGTCAATATTGCATATGCCCTATCTTCATCCAAGCCATTTGTTATAATACATGTATATACTCCAGAATCTCGCACAATTGTTCCAGAAATTGTCAATGAATTATCCTGAAAGTTTTGTGTCATTCTTTGTTCGTTAGCTGACACACGTTTATCGTCCTTCTCCCAGTACACCTCCATGTGTGCAGCCTCGTCAAAATCTGTAGATCCTGAACACGTAAACTTAGCGTCGTATCCTGCTATAACTTCAAGATCTAGCGGATACTGCTCAATTCTCGTCTTTCCTTAAATAAACAATTCTACAAATGAAATATGTATATACTAGAATAAAACAAAATAATGCTAGACGTGCTTGCATATACCAGAACAAGGGTAATAAAACTGAAAACCTTAAAATAAACAAGAAAGGAATTGACAATAAACTTTCAGGAGCATCCCATGACTAAACAAAACATTCAACCATCAAATATTAAACTTTTTTGTCAAATAATAAAACAATATCTTAACTATAACTCTATTCCCTTTTCTTTTTGGCAAAAAAAGATAAATATCTTATGTCAGCTATCTTTTGCATAAATCCTGCTTATTAATCTAAGTACAATGAAACAACTGGTTACTAGAACTAATCAATTTCATAAAATAACAAGAGCACCGCTAGGCGGAGCATTATATTACCAAAAGTCTTGTTTTTTAGTAAGGATGAAGCACTTGTAAGACATTACATAAATTAAATAAAGTATGACCTCCTCCAAATAGCAATCCTCCTATAAAGTTTGAATATTGTGGGCCGAATAGAACTTAAGTTATGCTCTGGAAACTGTTTTCATTTTTGAGGTAATAGCGACCTTGAACTTTGAACTTATGACCCCAAAATCAATAGGGGTCTTCTACCGAATATGGATAATCATCATATGCTGTTTGAACATTAAGTTATGTTCTGGAAACTGTTTTCAGTTTTCAAGTAATAGTGACCTTGACCTTTGACCTTGTGACTCCAAAATCAATAGGGATCTTCCAACCAATATGGACAATCATCCTATGAAGTTTGAATAATGTAGGCCAAATGGAACTTAAATTATGCCCCAGAAATTGTTTTCAGTTTTAAAGTAATAGTGACCTTGACCTTTGACCTTGTGACCCCAAAATCAATAGTGGTCTTCTACCCAATATGGACAATAATCCTATGAAGTTTGAATATTGTGGGACAAATATACCTTAAGTTATGCACCGGAAATTGTTTTAGTTTTTAGGTAATAGTGACCTTGACCTTTGACCTTGTGACCGCAAAATCAATGGGGTCTTCTACCCAATATGGACAATCATTCTATGAAGTTTGAATATTATGAGCCACATAGAACTTAAGTTATGCTCCGGAAACTGTTTTCAGTTTTAAAGTAATAATGACCTTAACCTTTGATCTTGAGACCCCAAAATCAATAGAAGTCTTCTACCTAACATGGGCAATCATCTAATGAAGTTTAAACACTGTGGGCAAAACGGGACTTTAGTTATGCTCCGGAAACTGTTTTCAGTTTTAAGGTGATAGTGACCATGACCTTTGACCTTGTGACCCCAAAATCAATAGGGGTCTTCTACCTTAAATGGACAATCATCTTATGAAGTTTAAAAACTGTAGGCAAAATGGAACTTAAGTTATGCTCCGAGAACTGTTTCAGTTTTAAGGTGATAATCAACTTGACCTTTGACCCTGTGACCAAAAATCAATAGGGGTCTTCTACCTAATATTGACAATCATCCTATGAAGTTTGAACACTGTGGGTCAAACGGAACTTAAGTAATGCCCCGGAAACTGTTTTCAGTTTTAAGGTGATAGTGACCTTGACCTTTGACCTTGTGAACCCAAAATTAATAGGGGTCTTCTACCTAATATGGACAACCATCCTATGGTGTTTGAATATTGTGGGCCAAACGGAACTTAAGTTATGCTCCGTAAACCAAATTGCTAACAGACGGACGGACAGACGGACGTTCTCACAGGACAGTAATTATGTGGCTACTCTGTTGTTCTCTCTATTGTTCTTTTTAGCCACACAAAAGAAAATAGCCACATAAAAGCATTACGGAATGAATGACATCAAACAGAAAGAACAATTACCTATTGTCCCTCTAGCCACATAATTACTCTCCTGTGAGTGCGGACGGAAGGACGGATGGATAGACAGACGGACGGACGGATGGCAGGGAGTATAACATAATATGCCCGAAATTCTTTCGAGCATATAATAATTTTTTTTTCTAAATTTTATTATTTTCTCTGCATTCCATAAACTTCATATATTGCTGTAGGTATAGATATTAGGGGTATTAAGTTATTATTGTAAACTTACGTCTAATTTGAGTTTTACATGTTGATGATGTCACCTCACCGTAGATATTCTTTGCTCTACATCTATAGTCACCTGCATCAGCCATTACCACTTTCTGTAAAACATACAAAAATCTATTTTCAACAGAACAGATTTCAGTCATTGACACACTGTATGTTTGTTTGTTTGATTGGGATTTACATCACACTGACGCAGTAAAGGTCATGTGGCAATGTTCCAGCTTTACTGGTGGAGGATGACCTGAACGGAGCCACTGACGTTCTATAAGTTAAGCTGGATAGCTTCCTCACATGAAAGAATCCAAAGTACATGTCGGCATTTGAACCCACACTGTATGTTAATCTCTACTGAAGGAACATAAATCAAATCAACTTCCTTATAACGGACCATATATTGTCAGCATAACTATTTGAACATAGACAGTCATGCTGCAATCTTTAAATACAAGACAATGATTAAGGATCAGGTACAGTAAATTTAAATTTGAAACAGCATGTGATTTCACTTAGAAATATCTAACCCTTCCTCTGCTCAACCGATAAATGATTAAGCCTTTGCCAGCTGTATACAGCAAGGCCTACCTGCACAACCTTGCAGTATGACTGGTGACTGATCAACAACAAATATTCATCTTGATATCCCCAAAATTGTTAATAGACATTTCCAAAATTGAATCTGGACAGGTCCAAAAAAGTATCTTTCAGCTAATTAGATAAATAAAATTTGTATGATCATTGTAGACACAATAACTGGCATAAGAAACATTTAGAAAATACTATAATATATAATTGTTAAAGTAAAGCTACTAACTTATTTGGTATAACAATAAATACCTGAATATGTAGATTCCCGTTAGGCATAATTTGAAACCGTCCACCTGTAATAAGACTCTGATCTCTGTACCAGGTGACTGTAGGGTCAGGTTTACCTGTCACCAGGCAGTCTAGTGTAACAGATTTACTCTCAGCAACCTTGATCTGTGCAGGCGGAGGCTTGATTATAGTAGGCTTTTCAGCTGAAAATTTACATTTATATACATGTTACTAAAGCTATAAAATGTTACAAAAACATAGAGATGTTAATTAAGGTACTACGACCCTAATAGGCACTATAAGGAACTAAAAATTGACATCATAGGCCAGATATATACCTTAAAGTACGCCTGTATGCAAAATTTAAACAAAGTTTGCCGTACGGAAATCAAGTTATGGCCACTTTTCTGAACTCAAGCTAAGCTGTTATGTGGGACCTTTTTTTAGAAATGATGAATCTTTAAATAATCTGCAATAACATTCAAATGAAAAATGTTTTTCCATTAATTTTTGGTAAGAAACAAATAGTATCATTTAGCTAACAATTCACACACCAGTTTCCTACTTAGGGAGCCTTATTTAAAAAATCATTAAAATTTACCCAAATGAGTGCCTGTTTTCAAAGTTTCCCTAAATTTTTAAAGAAGTATATTGCTTGATCTTGTAAAATATGAAATACTTTTACCGTCTAGTTTTGATTTTATTACACTTTGAAAATATCAGCTACCATATTTATTACTAGATTTAGCATAATTTAGCCAATAAATACATATATAAACTAAAAAATCAAAATTAAACACTTTTTTCTTTCCAAATGGGACATGAGAGATACATAAATAATGTTTAAAGAAAAAAAGAAAGAAAAAAAAGTTGACCCTTCTTGGGATTGAACCCGCGGCCCTCATTTTCAATGTAGTTAACAGTAGTTCTAACCTATTTGAATACTCTTTAAAGCGGAGGTATAACAGCTCAACTGATATCAACATTCAATTACGCACGTAAAACCGATACCAGGTTCAAAATGAATTAATTATGACAATTAATATATAAAAGAAAAATTAAAATAAATCTCAACAAACGGTTTCATATCAGGACACTTGTTACTGGTTATTCAGTTAAAAAGTGATTAAGATCTCTTGAAAAATGAAGGAGGTGTGCACGTCATAATTGTCCAGCCGCCTGCCTTCCAATATTCACCAATCAAACAACCAGAGATTTATCTTGGAAGTCTACATCAAACATTGTAGGTCATGGAGTAACTACTAAAATTATTGCAGAAGTTAACAGAATAAAGAGATCAACCAGAATTACATCAAGCACTAACCTTTAACAGTCAATATTGCATATGCCCTATCTTCATCCAAGCCATTTGTTATAATACATGTATATACTCCAGAATCTCGCACAATTGTTCCAGAAATTGTCAATGAATTATCCTGAAAGTTTTGTGTCATTCTTTGTTCGTTAGCTGACACACGTTTATCGTCCTTCTCCCAGTACACCTCCATGTGTGCAGCCTCGTCAAAATCTGTAGATCCTGAACACGTAAACTTAGCGTCGTATCCTGCTATAACTTCAAGATCTAGCGGATACTGCTCAATTCTCGTCTTTCCTTAAATAAACAATTCTACAAATGAAATATGTATATACTAGAATAAAACAAAATAATGCTAGACGTGCTTGCATATACCAGAACAAGGGTAATAAAACTGAAAACCTTAAAATAAACAAGAAAGGAATTGACAATAAACTTTCAGGAGCATCCCATGACTAAACAAAACATTCAACCATCAAATATTAAACTTTTTTGTCAAATAATAAAACAATATCTTAACTATAACTCTATTCCCTTTTCTTTTTGGCAAAAAAGATAAATATCTTATGTCAGCTATCTTTTGCATAAATCCTGCTTATTATTCTAAGTACAATGAAACAACTGGTTACTAGAACTAATCAATTTCATAAAATAACAAGAGCACCGCTAGGCGGAGCATTATATGACCAAAAGTCTTGTTTTTTAGTAAGGATGAAGCACTTGTAAGACATTACATAAATTAAATAAAGTATAACCTCCTCCAAATAGCCATCCTCCTTTAAAGTTTGAATATTGTGGGCCGAATGGAACTAAAGTTATGCTCTGGAAACTGTTTTCATTTTTGAGGTAATAGCGACCTTGAACTTTGAACTTATGACCCCAAAATCAATAGGGGTCTTCTACCTAATATGGATAATCATCATATGCTGTTTGAACATTAAGTTATTTTTTGGAAACTGTTTTCAGTTTTCAAGTAATAGTGACCTTGACCTTTGACCTTGTGACTCCAAAATCAATAGGGATCTTCCAACCAATATGGACAATCATTCTATGAAGTTTGAATATTGTAGGCCAAATGGAACTTAAGTTATGCTCCAGAAACTGTTTTCAGTTTAAAAGTAATAGTGACCTTGACCTTTGACCTTGTGACCCCAAAATCAATAGTGGTCTTCTACCCAATATGGACAATACTCCTATGAAGTTTGAATATTGTGGGACAAATATACCTTAAGTTATGGACCGGAACTTGTTTTCAGTTTTTAGGTAATAGTGACCTTGACCTTTGACCTTGTGACCGCAAAATCAATGGGGGTCTTCTACCCAATATGGACAATCATTCTATGCAGTTTGAATATTATGGGCCACATAGAACTTAAGTTATGCTCCGGAAACTGTTTTCAGTTTTAAAGTAATAATGACCTTGACCTTCGACCTTGTGACCCCAAAATCAATAGGAGTCTTCTACCTAACATGGGCAATCATCTAATGAAGTTTAAACACTGTGGGCCAAACGGGACTTTAGTTATGCTCCGAAAACTATTTTCAGTTTTAAGGTGATAGTGACCATGACCTTTGACCTTGTGACCCCAAAATCAATAGGGGTCTTCTACCTAAAATGGACAATCATCTTATGAAGTTTAAAAACTGTGGGCAAAATGGAACTTAAGTTATGCTCCGAGAACTGTTTTCAGTTATAAGGTGATAGTCAACTTGACCTTTGACCCTGTGACCAAGAATCAATAGGGGTCTTCTACCTAATATTGACAATCATCCTATGAAGTTTGAACACTGTGGGTCAAACGGAACTTAAGTAATGCCCCGGAAACTGTTTTCAGTTTTCAGGTGATAGTGACCTTGACCTTTGACCTTGTGACCCCAAAATTAATAGGGGTCTTCTACCTAATATGGACAATCATCCTATGGTGTTTGAATATTGTGGGCCAAACGGAACTTAAGTTATGCTCCGTAAACCAAATTGCTAACAGACGGACGGACAGACGGACGTTCTCACAGGACAGTAATTATTTGGCTACTCTATTGTTCTCTCTATTGTTCTTTTTAGCCACATAAAAGCATTACGGAATGAATGACATCAAAGAGAAAGAACAGTTACCTATTGTCCCTCTAGCCACATAATTACTCTCCTGTGAGTGCGGACGGACGGACGGACGGATGGATAAACAGACGAACGGACGGATGGCAGGGAGTATAACATAATATGCCCAAAATTCTTTCGAGCATATAATAATTTTATTTCTAAATTTTATTATTTTCTCTGCATTCCATAAACTTCATATATTGCTGTAGGTATAGATATTAGGGGTATTAAGTTATTATTGTAAACTTACGTCTAATTTGAGTTTTACATGTTGATGATGTCACCTCACCGTAGATATTCTTTGCTCTACATCTATAGTCACCTGCATCAGCCATTACCACTTTCTGTAAAACATACAAAGATCTATTTTCAACAGAACATTTTTCAGTCATTGACACACTATATGTTTGTTTGTTTGATTGGGATTTACATCACACTGACGCAGTAAAGGTCATGTGGCAATGTTCCAGCTTTACTGGTGGAGGATGACCTGAACGGAGCCACTGACGTTCCATAAGCTAAGCTGGATAGCTTCCTCACATGAAAGAATCCAATGTACATGTCGGCATTCGAACCCACACTGTATGTTAATCTCTACTGAAGGAACATAAATCAAATCAACTTCCTTATAACGGACCATATATATGGTCAGCATAACTATTTGAACATAGATAGTCATGACACAATCTTTAAGTAAAAGACAATGATTAAGGATCAGGTACAGTAAATTTAAATTTGAAACAGCATGTGATTTCACTTAGAAATATCTAACCCTTCCTCTGCTCAACCCATAAATGATTAAGCCTTTGCCAGCAGTATACAGCAAGGCCTACCTGCACAACCTTGCAGTATGGCTCTATACTGTTGACTGATCGACTTCAAATGTTCATCTTGATATCCCCAAAATTGTTAATAGACATTTCCAAAATTGAATCTGGACAGGTCCAAAAAAGTATCTTTCAGCTAATTAGATAAATAAAATTTGTATGATTATTGTGGACACAAAAACTGATATAAGAAACATTTAGAAAATACTATACATAATTGTTATAGTAAAGCTTCTAACTTATTTGGTATAACAATAAATACCTGGATATGTAGAGTCCCGTTAGGCATAATTTGAAACCGTCCACCTGTAATTAGACTCTGATTTCTGTACCAGGTGACTGTAGGGTCAGGTTTACCTGTCACCAGGCAGTCTATTGTAACAGATTTACTCTCAGCAACCTTGATCTGTGCAGGAGGAGGCTTGATTATAGTAGGCTTTTCAGCTGAAAATTTACATTTATATATATCTTACTAAAGCTATAAAATGTTACAAAAACATAGACATGTTAATTAAGGTACTACGACCCTAATAGGCACTATAAGGAACTAAAAATTGACATCATAGGCCAGATATATACCTTAAAGTACGCCTGTATGCAAAATTTAAACAAAGTTTGCCGTACGGAAATCAAGTTATGGCCACTTTTCTGAACTCAAGCTAGGCTGTTATGTGGGACCTTTTTTTAGAAATGAGGAATCTTTAAATAATCTGCAATAACATTCAAATGAAAAATGTTTTTCCATTAATTTTTGGTAAGAAACAAATAGTATCATTTAGCTAACAATCCACACACCAGTTTCCTACTTAGGGAGCCTTATTTAAAAAATCATTAAAATTTACCCAAATGAGTGCCTGTTTTCAAAGTTTCCCTAAATTTTTAAAGAAGTATATTGCTTGATCTTGTAAAATATGAAATACTTTTACCGTCTAGTTTTGATTTTATTACACTTTGAAAATATCAGCTACCATATTTATTACTAGATTTAGCATAATTTAGCCAATAAATACATATATAAATTAAAAAATCAAAATTAAACACTTTTTTCTTTCCAAATGGGACATGAGAGATACATAAATAATGTTTAAAGAAAAAAAGAAAGAAAAAAAAGTTGACCCTTCTTGGGATTGAACCCGCGGCCCTCATTTTCAATGTAGTTAACAGTAGTTCTAACCTATTTGAATACTCTTTAAAGCGGAGGTAATGCATTAGGATGGTAATACCTTAAGATATAAATTTTCAATAGATTTTACAATAATTATGTTTCCATGACAAAGATAAAATGTGTATTGATAATTGGTGGTAACAACTCTACACTTCACATAAAAGAAATAAAGTACCATTAGTTTTTGTTTTGCTTAAAATTGTCATGTATATATAAAAGTACTGTGGAATCAGTTAAAATTATTTTAAAGAAAGGTTTTCTATAATCAATAGATTGGCCAAACAAGATGGATGAACCATTAGAAGCATCCTAAACATTCTAGAATATTTTATTTTATTTTAAACATTTATGGTGTGCTTCAAAACATAAGTTTAACCATTAAGTCAGTAAATATGACCAAGCCTTGTTTACAATAATAAGGCAACAAAATTTAGATTGAGCCCTTCCTTTAATACATGAGATATTCATTTTCATTTTTGATATTAACTTTATAAGCACATTCAGGTTGAATATAAACTTTGTCATATTAACATACCCTGTACATTGAGGTAATATATTGTGATATCAACTTACCCAGAACATTAAGGTAGACATCAGAAAAGATATATCCGTGTTTGTTACTGGCATTACATTGAATATTCATGTGATCTTCTAAAGTTAGATTTGTCAGGGTTATATTGTTAGCATCTTTCTTATAGAATCGGTTGTTGTTGTAGATACGTGGATCTCGTACACCCAGCTTGTTCTGTCCTGTTATCATGATAGAAATATTCCACAATTACATACTCTCTCTTTTAAACACTACAGCCATTTATTGTCTTGTGGGCAACTGTTATAACCTTATGTGTGAGTCAATTGTTTAGAGTCAACAACTTACGTCAGGTAAGAAAGTTTTATAGCAATCTTTTTCTGTAAGAATTCAGTCATTGCAAGAGTTCAGCATACAACATTGATCTTTAAATGCCAGAGATTTTTCATTTCTTAGCTTTTTTTGTATGATGCTATGCTATAGAGGACACATAAGTCATACAAAAATTTTAACAAAAAAGTATAAGAGCCCAAAGTCCAACATCTAATATATTGGGCAAACCAATTGTTTAAAAAAAAAGATAAAATGAATAAAAATTGTAAAATTTAAACATATAAAACTTTAGGTCAATTGCAAAACAAGTTTTTGCAGCTTATAATTATCGAGCTCTTGGCCAGAGTAGGTAGGGCTCGAACCCATGATCCCTGGGTTGAAAGGCACCTTAACCGCTAGGCCACTGCTCCAATTAAAAATGAGGGCCATGATGGCCCTGAAATCGCTCACCTGTATGTAGACACTCACCATGACAAGGCACAAGTAATATTGGAAACTATAAACAAGAGGGCCATGATGGCCCTGAGTCGCTCACCAGAAACAACTGGTTTCCAGAGTTGGAAATTATCCATTGTCAATATTTTCTGATATTTAATTTGAGTATAGAATATGTTTAAACAATAATTTAAAGAAATGCCATGACCTGGTGCATTAAAGCTTTAGCTTAAACGGCACCAATCCAATTAATATGAGCAAACTTGATAAAAGACTACCTAATAATGCTACAAAGTTTGGTGATCATCTATCAATTATTTCAGTAGGAAATGTTCAACAAAGGTTTTTCTATTTTTGGCTTTATAGGCATCTAAAACGGGCCAATCAATTAAATATAAGCAAACTTGATAAAAGCGTACCTAACAATGCTGCAGACAAAGTTTGGTGATCATACATCAATAGTTCTATAGATGTTTAAAGTTATTTCTATTTTTAGCTTTAGCGGCCCCTAAAAGGGGCCAATCAAATTAATATGATCAAAATTGATAAAAGACTACCCAAGAATGCTACAGACAAAATTTGGTGAACATTCATCAATTAGTTCTTTAGAAGAAGATGTTTAAAGGTTTTTTCTATTTTTAGCTCTAGAGACCCCTAAAAGGGGCCAATCAAATTAGTATGATCAATCTTGATAAAAGACTACGCAAGAATGCTACAGACAAAGTTTGGTGATCATCCATCAATTAGTTCTGTAAAAATAAACGTTTAAAGTTATTCCTATTTTTAGCTTTAGCGGCCCCTAAAAGGGGCCACTCACATTTATATGAGTACACTTGATATCAGACTACCCAAGAATGCGACAGACAAAGTTTGGTGATCATCCATCAATTAGTTCTGTAGAAGAAGACATTTAAAGGTTTTTTCTATTTTAGCCCTAGTGACCATAAAAGGGGCCAATCAAATTAATATGAGAAAATTTGATAAAAAAACTACCCAAGAATTTTAGAGACAAAGTTTGGTGATCGTCCATCAATTAGTTCTGTAAGAGAAGATGTCTAAAGGCTTTTCTATTTTTAGCCCTAGAGACCCCTTAAAGGGGCCAATCAAATATAATATGATCAATCTTGATAAAAGACTACCCAAGAATGCTACAGACAAAATTTGGTGATTATCCATCACTTAGTTCTGTAGTAGAAGATGTTTAAAGGTTTTTTCTATTTTTAGCTCTGTTGACCCCTAAAAGGGGCCAATTTATATGACATGAGCAAATTCAAGTGTGACTGTCACAAGGATGCTACAGGCCAAATTTGAAGTAAATCTGTCCAGCGGTTTCAGAGGAGAAGACGATTGTTGACGTATGACGACGGACGCCGGAGTATCCCCCTTTGATACTAATAGCTCACCCGGAGCCTTCGGCTCTGGTGAGCTAATAAAAGCGGATATAAAATCTAAACCTTAAACGTTCATTTCTGTATCTGAAATAGTGTATGTGTAAAAGCATTAGTTTTTAATATATACATATATAGAAAATCAATGATCCCCTGTGGCGGGACCAATTTTGGCCCAGGGCTTTTATTTTAACAAACTTGGTAGACACTGACACTAAAAGATATTTCATGCCTAGTATCTAAACTCTAGCTCTTTGTTTTTTTAAAAGAAGATTTGTTAAAGTTTTTTCTTTCAGTTGCCATGGCAACATGAGTTCAGCATGGAATAATATTCTTTGAACAATTTTTAAAGTCGATCACCAATTTAACATTCCTGTTAAATTTTGATAAAATTGGTATAGTGGTTTATGAGGAGATGTTTTAAAGTTAAAGTTTACAGAAGGATGGTCGGACGCCAGACGAAAAGCGATCAAAAAAGCACACCTTGTCACTTTGTGACAGGTGAGTTAATAAAATAGATTACTTGCATCAATGCATAAAAATTGAATAATTTTAATAATGCACATACTATCTTCAAGTGGTACACCATTAATGTACCAGGCATATTCAGGTTTAGGGTCACCATCAGCTTTACATATAAAGGTTGCCTTCTCATTAATACTGGCTTCAACATCGTGAGGTTCTTCCACCCAAAAAGGTGCCGCTGAAATAACATTACTAATAATGAGCTCTTTCATTCTTCTTAACCTCTATTTAACAACTTTCCATTATGCAATCAATGTAAATAACAACAAAACAAAAATGTTTTTTCACAATAGCATTAACTTCAATCGGTTCAATGTTTACAAGAAGACTGAAGCTGTCTTCACTCAACTAGAAAGTTAACTGTTAATTGCCCTTTGTACAAGAGCCACTGGCAAAGTTATAATATACTAAACGTTATCCCTGGATAAAATACTTTACTGAAATATGGACAGCCATAACATTTAAAGCATTAGTAGGCTGTCTATCTAGTGTATAATCAAAAGCTACAGTAGCCTCCTTATAATCCAATGAAATCCCATAACAGTCATAGTAATTTGAAGTCAACCTCCTCATTTTCTTCTGCATAGACCTAGGATGTTAAATCAATAAAGAAGTGGTGACTTATCTATCTTTACAAATTTAATAAAGACAAAAAGAAACTAACCTTCAATTCTGACATTAAAGGCTTTAGTTGCCATTTCTGTTGACGCGCTGTTTAGACCCATACATTCATACTGGCCAGCATCTGACTCACGTACGTCAGTGATGTGTAACTCTTGTCCAAAACTCTTAAACTTTGCTCTATCTGGAAATGTTCCCTCAAGTTTCTCCCAATATACTTCCGGTGTGGGACTATAAATGATTGAAAATTATCATTATCTTTTCCAGTAATTCTGAAATGCCATTACCACGTCTCTATAATTATATAACTATGATAAAAAATATCTTAATACAATTTATAAAAATGCCTGTGGAACAAGTTTATCTTATACAATTTATTGTATGGGATAAATAAATCTTTACATGCAAATTCTAGTGCTAGTGTTTGAGACAAGTTTAATGCATAAGTTTGAAGCGTCAAAAACATTCATGTACACAAAAAGCAAAAAAAAAAACAAAACAAAAAACAAACACAATCATATTTTCACACACAACATCTTTTCACTATTAAAAGGAAAGGAGGTGGTGTTTTGCAACGCTCCTTGGCAGGCTGCCACTAACATCTCATATAACTTCAGGAAAAAAGAAGAGGTGTCCATGACAATGCACACAGAAAGTAAGAAAATGGGCATAACTTGATAAACAGGTAACTCAGAGTTATAGGAACGTTACCCATGATGTTAGATAATCACAGATAACTAGTGTGTGAAGTTTCAATCCATTCCCAACTACTGACTTGCGCACAAAACTCAACCAGTGTGACAGCAACAGGGACACAGACATTGATGCCCTAAGGTGAGTAGAATAGCTCTACTATTTCTTTCAATAGTCGAGCTAAGAGACCGCTTCAGAAGATGTTATCATATTTGATCATTGTGTTATAGAGAAGAAAGTATCTTAAGTCATTCAAGATTTTATTTCAATCATTTATGTAGAATACTAATATAAATCACTGTGAATTTGATGTAATACATACTTCCCAGCAAAAATACATTTGAGCCTTAGAGTTCCACCTTTAAGAAAAAGCTGATCACTAGGTGATGTCCACAACTCTTTAGCAGGCAGCTTCTGTTCAGTAGCTGAAATTAAATCAATTTTATTTGATAAGTGAAACTTAACTTTTATTGTACCGATAAGCCGTATTTTGACAAAATAATCCCTTAACCTTTAAACTGCTTGTCACAAATTCAAAGCTGGACAAAAAGTTATTACACAAATTCAGCAGGTAAATTACTAAAATGTTACACATCAGTAAATAACCTTTTATAAAATATTCACCCCCTTGTGGGTATATAAAAAATGATTATCAATCAATTATTCATATCTAATTATCTAATTATATTGTACATTATATATAACAAATTAAAGCTGGTATACTCAAACAGTCGAATAATTTATTTATAGAAAATATCTATACATAATAACATACATTCAAATACTGTGACAACGTGTTCTGGACCAATGGCGTTGTCTCTCATGAAGAAGTTGATGGCAAAACAGGAGTAAGCTCTTCCCCCGATCATATCTGATCTCAACACATTTGTAAATCGGAGCCTGCCTGAAAAACAAAGTGTGGTTGTATATAGAATAATTGTCCTGCAAGTGCTGGCTGCAACAAGACTGGCATGTCATGCGTATTTGACCAGGTCAAATAACTCAGCCAAGCAGTATTATTCAAATGTGCAGTTGTATGTTGGCTCTTAATATTTTTACAATAAACATTCAAAAATAAAACAACACATTCATGTGTATATGACTTTTAAGTTAATTTCAACCATGACATTTCTTCCTTATAAGTTAAAATTTTCATTCATTTCATTACATCCCACACCATTCTATTACATCCAAAACCACTCCATAACACCTGACATCACTCAATTACACCCCACATCAACCCTCATCTACATTCACCATCACAATCTTCTACACCCCACATCACTCTACTACACCACTTTACTGTTCTCCCATCACCCCACATGACTTTAATATGTTCCTCTTTACTAAATACCAGTCAATAACACTCCATTCGACTCAACATCACTTTGTTTTACTTCACTTTACCCCCACCTTACATTAAATCACTCCACTAGAATCTACTCACTTAGATCATTCATAAACATTCATTTGTAATCTATTTTTATTCTGTAAACAAATTCAGCAGACTTACCTTCAATATCCATGCTAACTCGTTTATCAAAGTTGATAGCTTGCCATCTACCATCTGGTATTTTTGTCACCCAGTATAGAACTGCAGGTGGATAACTCTGAGGCGGTGTACATGGTAAAGTTAGATCATTCCCAGCATAAACTGTATGTGTCTGAAAAAATAAATTGAAATTAGTCGCATACTTACTTTACAATATTGACTTAATCAGGGGACATTTTGTAACATTTTAACTAAAATATGACAAATGCTGTGTCCCTATGTCATACTATACACACTATACCATTATGTTTACATAAATGGCAAATAATGGCATAAAGTACATGTAAGATCTGAAAGTGTAAATATGTTTCATTCTGACTCTCTAGGTGTTTCCAGTAAAATATTAAAACAATATTTTAAGAAAAACTTAAAGTATAAATCATACAGATGACGGCAAAAAAATGAACTGGAAGTCATATTTAACCATCGCTTGTGCAATTAATGCTTCACAGCCACTTTTACGGACCTATTATTAATTTGAAATTTATACGCATGCGTGACAAGATGGACGCAGTTTTTCGAATGTGAAGATTTTCATACTTTTAAATGGTTTTACTGGTGTTTTATTTGGTCGAATCTTGGATTAAAGTCTTGAAAAGTGTACCTTGGATGTTTTACAACGATGTCGGACTCACAAAATAACGCAAGTACCCCTATTTACGGTGTTGCAACTGAGAAGAGATATAATATGTTACGTTTCGAGGGACAGTTTGTCGCCTGTAATCAAACGCCCATTCGACATTCGAACAATGTTAAGAATGTAAAACGTAGTTATATGGATTCTTCAACAAGCCAAAACAGTACAGTTTCATTTTCTTCACTATCTATAGATGACAAATTATCTATAATGTGTTCTTAACTTGATAAGCTAGAGAAGGATGATGAAAAATTAATACAAATGTCTTCAAATTTGAACCAGACAATTATCAAGGTAGACAAAATTGGTCATGATATTGGCTGACATAAACTGTATATGAAGCAATTAGCATACCATACAATAGACCAGAGTGCGCGTTCGAGGCGAAATAACCTGATTTTCTACTGATTAGCGGATTCAACAAACGAGAATATATATACCGTTATGGCGGATTTCATGTCAGACCAATTAGACATTAATTTAACGGAAATGTGTGTCCAGAAAATTCATCATCTTGGTTCAATTAGTAGAGCAAGTGCACGTACACAGACACCAAGACGACCAGTCATCATTGCTTTCCGCGAATATCGAGACACTGAGTATATTTTGGAAAATGTCTAAAATTTATACGGCACGAGATTCGGAAATGACCGAGACTATCCGAAAAAAATTGCAGTTGCACGCAAAAAACTATTTGACTTTCAGCACATGAATTTCTCAAAAATAAAGACAAGTGTAATATACAATACCCGGCTAAATTAATTGTAAACGGAAAACTTTTGAGAGATGAATTTCCCGAGAGAAATGTTCAACGAAACAGCTGAGCACAGCGTATATATCCGTTCAACTGTGATAGATTCTCAATCGCACACTTTAGCAACGCAACCTGTTAACCTGGACATAACCAATAACTCTCTTAATTTAGTGAAACAGACATATCTCCCCCTATCGTGCATTATCCGTTACAATGACATGGCGGTCCAGTACAAACGACGGTAAATGTAGGCGCCGGGAACCACAATCATAATTTACATGTTAACAAGTCCACGCTGTTTACAAACACCACGTACATACAGTCAGGTGACAAAAACGAATATTCAGTCCAATGAGCAATCAAATCGAGTTTTAACGAGCATTGATGGTTCTTCGCCGACCAATAGCAATACTCGGCAATTTTCGGGAATGTCCGGAGACAACCGTAACAGTGATCATCAGCAGAGCATGAAAAGTGACCATTCCACTAATTCAAACTATCAATAGGATGACGGGGAGAAACAGACTTTTAACTTAAACTGTGTCTTATTTAATATTCAAGGTTTGATAACGCGAAATGTAAATAAACTCGATCATAATGAGATTATGGAATATTTTAGAAAAAAAGATTTACTATTTTTCACAGAAACATGTCGAACGAGTTAGTAAATATGGAAGTCGAGGGTTTTTATATTCATGCACTCCACAGAACTAATTAACATTATAATGCTAAAAGGGACTCGGGTGGAATCTGTTGTTATATAAGAGATAATTTAAAAACAAACGTTTGTCTTTATCACAGTGACAGCGATGATATTTTTTGGTTGAAATTATCTTATGTATTTTTTGAGTGCAAGTTTGATTTATATCCATGCTTATGTTATATCATTCCTCAAGGCAGTAGCCGCGAGCATTTAACTCAAATCCCGGTTTATGATAGAATATTGGATGATATGGTTAAGATATCTGCAGAAACAAATGATAATTGTAGATATTGGTGCTGGGAGACATGATGGTAGGGTAGGCCGTTTAGATCATTTTATACAGTATGATGATTTAGATAAGCATGTTTATTTTTTGCCTGATGATTATGATACATATGTTATATTACCAAGATTAACTGAGGATAGTATTGTCAATAGAAATGGCCATGATCTGATTGATTTTTGTAAGCAAAGCGGTTTAAGGATTATGAATGGTCGAGCATGTAATGACCCGGGTAATTATACATATATAAGTCATACGGGTAAAAGTCTAGTAGATTATGTGCTCGCTAGTCCATCTATTTTGAATACCTTTTGTTATTTCAATGTCGGAATGCCTAACATATTGTCCGATCATTGTATAGTTAGTTTTAGTTTAAAATGAAATGATGTTCAAAATGTACCGCAAACGGATGATAAATGTGATAGTAAAAATCGTTTTACTTACAAATGGGACCCAAATAAAATTGATATGTATTGATTCAAATGTTGTTAAATTTTCTGAAATTATTGGAAACATTTGTACACCTTTGTTTGGAAAGCGTATTTTTGATAAGAGGGATATTAAACAAAATTCCGATAAACCATGGTTTGATGGCGAATGTTCAAGAAAACTGAAACATTTTTATAACAATGCTAACAATTACAATAAAAATAAAACGGTTTACAATCGTAACTTGATGGCTGATTCAAGAAAGAAAGGAATATAAAAACATGATTAGAGGCAAAAAATATTTACATAGAAAAGAAAATACTGATAAGTTTATACAGTCAGGATTTGAAAATGCAAAGCTTTATTGAAAGTTATTTAAGGCATCTTTATGTAATAATAGCTCTCCCAAAATAGGTGTAGATACATTTGCGAATTTTTTAGCGCAATTAATAACCCAGATAGCCATTTTATCAAGCTGATGATGATATTTTATATTTTAACGATATAATTCTCAATAACGAAATACAAGTTATGTTTGAAGAATTAGATGTAGAAATAACAATCTCAGAAATTATCAAGGCTATAAAGCAGTTAAAGTGAAGCACGGCAAGTGGACCGGATATGTTTTTCAAATAAATTTTATAAATGGTGCTGATCAATTAAAAAGTAACTTTCATGTGTTATTCAATAGTTGTTTAAGCAGGGGTTATTTTCCTGAGCAATGGTGTCAGGGTTTTGTTGTTCCAATCCATACGTCTGGTGATATAAATGAACCAGGAAATTACGGTGGAATCACATTACTGAGTACATTTGGCAAATTGTTTAGTCGAATTTTGAACAGCAGACTCGATAGTTAGGCTGAAAACTATTCTATATATGTTGAAGTTCAGGCAGGTTTTAGAAAAGGTATGGGTACAACTGATAATGTTTTTGTTCTTAATGGGTTGCTTAACCATTGTTTAAATAATAAGAAATATTAGTACTGTGCATTTATAGATTTTCAAAAAGCTTTCGATTTTGTTGTTAGGGATATATTGTGGTACAAACTTTTGCAATGTAGTGTAAGTGGAAATACATTAAATGTTATGAAGTCAATGTATAGTTATGTTAAGTCACAAATGAAATGTAACAATGAGTTAAGTGTTGCGTTTTACTGTAATTTAGGCGTTCGTCAAGGTGGAAGTCTCTCACCTTTTCTTTTTAGCATGTATTTAAATGATCTAGAGCAAACTTTAAATGATAGAGGTATAGAAGGTATTGATGTTGGAAGGATAAAGATAGGTCTTTTGATATACGCCGATGATATTATTCTTTTGTTTTATTAGAATATTCTAATAGATGGACATTAACAGTAAATACGAGAAAAACTAAAGTCATGGTGTCCAGAAAAGCACGAAGTTTACCTCATAATTTACGTTACTTGTATAATGATCAGGAATTAAAAAATGTATTACGTTTTAAATATTAAGGTGTTTTATTTACGTCAGGTGGTTCATATATTCAACATGATAAGTTCTTGGCTGAACAGGCTTTAAAAGCTATTTTCAAAATGAATTAATATTTATATAAATTTACAGATTTATTACCCAAACATACACTTGATTTATTTGATAAGTTAATTATGCCAATTTTAATGTATTCCTCAGAGGTATGGGGTTTTTATAAAGCCCCACATGTAGAAAGAACATTTTTAAGTTTTTGTAAAAGATTGTTAAGTCTTGTAGCATCTACCCGAAATGATTTTGTATATGGCGAGCTTTGTAGACAAAGTTTGATATCATAAAGAATGTTTAGTGTTATAAAATATTGGTGAAAATTATGTACATGTCCAGAATCAAAGTGTATTAGAAATATTTATTTGATGTTAAAGAATGACGCAGTTAACGAACCAAATGTATGGTTAAACCAAGGTGTTGAAAATAAAGAACTATGTTTATTGATATTAAAACAAAGGATAAAAGATATATGGCTGATTGATTTTAATAACAGATTAGAAGACTCGACAAGAGCACTGATTTTTAGAACAATAGTTAGTTTTAATTTTAGCAAATATCTAGATGTTATAAATATCTGTAAGTACAGAATAGCTTTAGCACGTTTACGCATGTCATCTCATACATTATCGGTAGAATCTGGAAGGTGGAGAAAACTAGAATGTGTTCCTTTTAATGAACGAATTTGTCATATATGTAATACATTAGAAGATGAATACCACTTTGTACTTGTATGTAAAATGTTTAAAGAACTTCGTACAAAATATATCAAGAGATACTATTGGAATCACCCTAGTAATTTTAAATTTATTACTCTTATGAATACAGAAAATGTAACAGATATTCGTAATTTAAGTATTTACACGTACGTATCCATGCTTTTATTAAACGTCAGCAAAGATCGATTCACTGTAGATTTGTCAATTTTACATGTACATATATCTATAACATAATGCTAGGTTAATGCTTACTAAGACAAAATTTTTGGTAAAAATAAATTGCTTTACATTATAAATATTATAACCCGCTTTTGATATTTAACCTTTCTGTCAAGGGTTAACTCATCAAAAATGAAAACGGTGACTCGATAAAATATATATAGATATATCTTTTTCATTTTATAAGACTACTTTAATCTTTTTGGTCAAACAAAATGCTTTATGTTTCATGCATAATATTGAGTACTTTGGTGATAACCTAGTCATAGATACCTTTAAAAATGGTTCCGTTGATGGAGACTCCTAATCTTTCTGTTTATAATGACGTTGTTATGTACAAATCACCATCATGTGCTCTATATGTTCGTTTTCGTTTTTCTATGGGCCATTTATGTGTTGGTGAATGTATCATATTTAGCGCTATGTATCATTTGTGGATAGCGCCCTTTCCAAGAAAGAGCAAAATCCTTAAATGATATCAACATATTATCTAGGAGCATCCAACCTCGTTAACCATATAAATATTATTTAGAAATTACATTATTCTGCCTCTCCCAAGCGAGATGTCATGTGAAACTACTCTTCGTTTAATATTGTTCCCTGAAGGTCTTTGGTTTGGTAATTTTATATGACAGTAATACAATGTCTTCATATGTTCATAACATACAATTGTACACATTGAATCAGCTTAAAGTGTATGAGCTACTTTCCCATTTACCAAAGAATTATTTCCCGTGAATACATATGCCATCTCGACTTCTTGTCACGTATTGCCATGTTTCTATTTTTTGTATGTATGTATATTGATGCTTTGTCAATGGCTCTTTTTAGGGCTTTAGTGCAAATAAAAGTTCTTCTTCTGCGAATATGACATATGAAGGGAAGAACAACTGTTATGTTTCTAGTGAAATAAATTTGAGGTTTGCAAATAATTTTTAAGCTTCATACACATACCTGTCTTGGTTCATATGCAAATTTTTTGAGTTTAGCTTTTCTCAGGTTGATCTTCACTGAAGCAGATATTCCATACCCATTGTCAGCAAAACACTGGAAGATACCTTCATCTTTATCTCCTGGCTTGTTAAACACGATTGTACCTTGATTTGGTAGTTGGACCACACGGTCTTCTTGACCACTGGGATTATAAACCACCCCGTTACGTCTCCATATATACCTGCAGGTATCAATATAATACTATTCATTATACTCATGCTCCCTGAGATATCATACTTTTTTTATGAAGAACAACTTAATGTAATAGTCATTTTTTTTGGCATCTTTCTAGATGCATCGGTACAAGAACACTAATGTATATTTCAAGTAACCCTTTTACAAAATTATTTCAACTACAATTATTTTATAATAGTATACTGTTTTATTAATAAAATTCCAGAAAAACAACAACACTATTTTGTTAATAAATCCTAGTTTTAATGTTCTGTTCATGTAGAAATTAAACTTAAATATGGACATAAAAGAACAAATTCGCGTGTTTGTAGAAATAATTTTGACTTACTTTGGTTTTGGTATACCATCAGCTATACACAATATCTCAACTGATTCTCCAGGTATATAATATATATCACGGTCTGTTGGCTGCACGTATATATTTGGTGGACGATTAACTGAAACAACAGAAGGTTACACATGAATACTATACAAAAAATAGACAAATATATTCAATGTGCTTAACAATATTTTGTTAATTATTATATTTCATAGGCTTTGATGACAGAAAAATGATGTACAGAGTCATACAGAAGACATTCATAAACAATACATACAATAAATTTCTGCATACAGTTAATTTTATTTAAAAAGCATGAAAACAAGTAAATGAAATAGATAACTTAATCTAGAAAATCTCAGTATCATCAATATTAAATTATTTGTCATTCATTTATAAGTACAGTATAATATTGTCAATACCCTTTGGAGAGAATCAATGACAGCTTTAATTTCACTTTTCACTTTAAATTTAAAAAAAAACTGGAAATAAATAAAAAAAGATAAAACTACCTGCAAATACTGTTGACAGGAACAGCAGATATATGGCGGTTCTTTGTAACATCTTTGCTATATATTCAAAAGAAAGTAAAAGTTGCTATGATAATGTAAGAAGTTTCAAAGAACAAAAATTTTGTTGGATAACAAGTGGAAATTGTTTATAAAAATGACATCCATGACAGCTATACCTTGCATATAAAATAGAGTTTATATTGAGAGCTGTGCCCAAGTATGTCTATAACAGCTATGATTTCACAACTAAGTGTCATCAATATGAAGTTTTCAGCAGTTTGCAGTTACTGAAATCATAAATTTCACAAGCATATATGCCACTGAGTTTTTCGTCTGGACACAAGAAAAATATGTTTTAGTTGAAGAATCAAATCAATATACAAGAGTGTACAGCAACTTAAGGCTTTCGTAAAATACCTTTGCAGGTTAGTAATTTCAAAACAATCATGTTCTGGTTAAATTCTATTAAACTGCAAAAGTATTACAACCTACAAGAATATTTAAACCATTTATGAAGTCCCTTTCTTAAAATCGGATATTCAAAACTCAGTCAGGAAATGACCGGTTTTACTTATAAGCGTCCTGAAGAAATTTAGTGTCCCGATGCATTTTTATTCAAATTTAAGCTATCAAAAGGGTTATATATGTACACCAGGATATCTACATGTATAACATCAATTATTATACCGGAGAAAGATTGTTTTATGCTTCGTTTACTTTTTGTTATATTTTCAAAATGAATAATGTTGTGTTAAATTTTCATCGAAGAATGATTTCAACACAGCTGAGTTAATGTGTACAATTGTATGGTATGAACATATGAAGACATTGTATTACTGTATAATGTAAATAATATATGATTTATTTTACTTTTTATAATTCATTATGAAGATGACAGATGTATGAATTAATACTTATACACAAATATTAGATTCTCCGTCTGTAATTATGTTAACTCTTAAAGGTGAACACCTCCACATAAACTATTTCAAGAAAATCAAACATGAGAAAATGTAATAACACTCTGAGGAAAGTTAAAAAGATTCAAGATGTATTTGCTTGTTGTTTGCAATTAATGACTAATTTTGAAGTATTTTTCACCATTCTGCGTGACAAAGGCAGTAAAGACTATATTTTGTATATTTGACCTTCTTCAGGTAATTTATGTTGCTTGTAAGTTCCATTTGTAAATAACTTTCTTTGTTCACTTCATAAAATCATACAATTACAAAATTTTCATGAAAATTAGCTTGAATCTGAATAAAGATATTTGTTGATACTGATATCTGCATCACTTAATGAATGATCGGAACCTATCACTGGCTAATATTATACTATTCCAACAGTTTCGATCACTGAAGTTGGACATCAATGGTTTTAATATATGTACATAATGTCATAAATAGTTTATGGCTGTTACTATGAACAATAAGTTCAATATACCATTGATAAGTACATCATACTCTATTATCTGGTTAAAATGGTTTGTATATCAAATATCATTCATGAGGATGTGATGTTACAAAACATTTTACCATTGACCATTAATGTGGAAAATTTAAAGTCAGTAGACAGAAAGTGGATGGGCGACAGACCTGAAATCGAATCCCACTGTATAGGACCACATGTCAATGATGTATGTCAAATATAAATAGGCTGTGATAAATAGTTGCTGAGAAAAAACTGTTAGGAAATTTTCTACCATTGACCATTAATGTCGATAATTTAACTAAGTCGGGAAACAGGAAGTGGATGAGTGACAGACCTGAAATAAAATCCCACGATATGGGACCACATGTCAATGCTGTATGCCAAATATCAAGCATACGGTGAAAGCGCGATGACACGATGGTCAAAACGCAATGGCACGATGATGAAAACGCAATGGTACGATTGTGAAAATGCAATGGCACGATGGTGAAAACGCGATGGCACGATGATAAAAACACGATGGCGCGATGGGACGATGGTGAAAACACGATGATACGATGGTGAAAACGCGATGTAACATAGTACTATCGCGCCATCGCGATATCACCATCGTACGTACCATTGTGTTTTCATCATCGTACCATCGCGTTTTCACCATCGTTCCATCGTACATCGCGGTAACAGACTAAAGAAAAAACGGAACACAGTATTAAGCTGTAACTTCTTTTGTTTTGCGCAGTAGTGTGCGTAGCCGTTGAACGCTTAACGTCATTTACAAACGAACTTGGTAGACACAACGAGACACAACGAGAAGGTGTTTCATGCTAAATATCTAAGCTCTAGCTCTTTTTTGTCTTTGGATTTGTTTCAAGAGTTTTTAAGTTTTTACTATATACATATAAAAAATCAGTGACAACCCACGGCGGGGCGAATGTTGAACCTAGGGCTTTTATTTAAACAAAATTGGAAGACATAACTATGCTTAATATCTAAGCAGTAGCTCTTTGGGGTTTTTAAAAGAAGAGAATTTTTACATTTTTAATGTAAACATATAAGGAAAATTAATGACACCAAGTGGCGGGGCCCATTTTGATCCTAGTGATTTTATTTAAACACTTTGAAATATTAAGCCCTAACGAATTTTCTGATCACTCGGGAATATCTTTAAGTTTCAATAAACAAGAAAAATATTACATACATTCCTATGTTAAATAGGTTCGATTGCATACTAACTTTTATGAAGTTTTATGCTTGATACATGAAAGGTGTGATGTAAAATGAACAAACATGTCATCAGATATTTTATAGTTTAAACATTTACATGGAATGTAATAAATGTAATCATAATAGATCTATTAAAATTGCCTGCCTTCAGATGAGAAAAATGATTTCAAAGATATCAAAATTAAAAAAAAACATTCACGACCAATTTACAGCTCTAAAACAAACAAACAAAATTACACATCTTCCACTGAACAGAAAATTTAAAATTGTTCACAGATTTGAGACATGATTATTTATTTACAAAAAACATAATTTGTTATCAATTGATCCAATAAAATACCGAAGATACGGTTTTTGTAAATATTAATTACAAATAAATATAAAAGGTATTTCCTATCCTATACTACGCGCCCAGGGGTCAGTATCTCGAAGCTACCATTGGCTTAACGACTGTCGTTAGCCTCTCGTTAAGGTTTTCACTGGTATCAATAAACGAATAATCGTTAAAATCCCATTATTAACGGATGCGTAGAAGGTGTCGTATAGCTCTCGTTAATATCACTTTTGTACAAATGGAAGAATTTTTATTTCTTTTTCTCACATATCAAACATATGTAAGAGCTGTTATTGTTTACATAAAGATGTATATTTAAATGCAGATTAAAAATCATATAATAACTGAAGCACTTTGTATTACAATATAAATAAATATTTGCATGTACATAATGTTAAAAATGTAACAAAATTCGGTACTTTTTACAGAATTATATTTCGAAAAGTTATCTGTGATGTAATGATTTAATGACATTAACAAAAATGCATTACGTTACGCTGCAAAAATCAGTACAACAGATAGGCATGAAATATATGGAAATTTTGTTTGTTTAACGTAACAGATTGAAATATTTTGCTCTTGCAAACACCAGCTGTTATATTTTTACTTGCTATATTTTAATTTGTAATACATAATTCTTTCTTAATCCGTTTTCTAAGTGTTTATTGACAATATTTGTGTTTTTTTGTGAGTGAAAAGGGAATATAAATAATGGAGGATAAATATATTAAAGTGTTATTGGAATATTTTGTCAATCTAAGGTAAACTTTGCGAAAATAACTTTTCTTCATTGAGAACAAAGGATTTTTAAAGCACGAACAAATAAGTGAATGTTAGTTCAAGGATTAATCTTTATATCGATAACTGAACAATTTATAGTAATCTACATATTAACTGACATCTATGGGTAAACGTAAACACAGTGGTAACAGTGGCAAAAAACCAAAAGCTAAATCAAAATTTCCGGCTCAACGCTCGACCTGAAGCAGCAGTCAGCGGTTCAAGCATAAATGACAGCGTTAGTGACGTAATAAGAGGTGCAAACTCTGTTTTGTTTAATGATTCCATTGCAGAAATGAATAATCTTGATAATTCCGTTTTTGAGCATAAAAGTACAACAACCGAAACGAACAAAAATGACACATGCCCTTCAAATTCAGACATCATGGACTTCCTCAGAAATATGAATAAAAAAATAAACAAATGGACCAAAGGTTGAGTAAACTTGATGTTCTGGAAGAAAAGGTCGGTAATGTTGAGACTGAATAGTGAGTCTGGAATTGTGCAAGATAGCAATGTTCAATATTGAGAAAAAAACAAAATTAGGTAGTGGACTAGTTGTACTGGCACTCACGGTCTAAAAGTTCATTGTTATTGCACTCGTCAATTGCTATAGATGAGTTGAAGATTGTATATTATGTGTCGGCAGAATTTGAGGAACATGTAGTTGTGTTCTGGTGTGTATTAAGAAGCATGTGATTATGCAAAACCTGTACTGGATAGCCAATTCTAGTCGTTTAGTTCTTAACGGAAGTGAATGAAAGGAGATGAGCGTGTTTTACTTAGTAGCGATCCTGGAGAATTTCGTGCTCGATGGCCATTTTAGTCATTTAAGCTATCAAAAGGTTATATTGACCAGGTGATCTATGTACAGCAATCTGCTTATGATAATTCAGGAGTAGAGAGATTGTTTATGCTTCGTTTACTTTTTGTTATATTTTCAAAATGAATAATGTTGTGTGTTAAATTTTCATCGAAGAATGATTTCAACACAGCTGAGTTAATGTGTACAATTGTATGGTATGAACATATGAAGACATTGTATTACTGTATAATGTAAATAATATATGATTTTATTTTACTTTTTATAATTCATTATGAAGATGACAGATGTATGAATTAATACTTATACACAAATATTAGATTCTCCGTCTGTAATTATGTTAACTCTTAAAGGTGAACACCTCCACATAAACTATTTCAAGAAAATCAAACATGAGAAAATGTAATAACACTTCTGAGGAAAGTTAAAAAGATTCAAGATGTATTTGCTTGTTGTTTGCAATTA